TTTTTTCTCTTATTCTTTGTCATTCATTGCTGAGTTCTGACCCACACCCCTACAGTGAAAAAAAGAGGGGAGTGGGACAGGGGGGGTGGCACGTCTGAAATACATTTTTCCCTGGGCCATGAGGAGTACATAATTGCATTATGACATGGTTGCATTTTTTTTCAAATTCAGGGCCATGAGGAGTACATAAATGAATGTGACCTGAGAGATTCGGGCCCTTGGGAAACAATCACTGGCAGTATAAGTGCGGTTGAATTTTGCAGGGTTGATGAACTTGTGTATGCCTCCCGTCCAGGTTCAGGAGAAAGTTGCTCTAAAATGAAACTTAAATTTATTGATCCTAAATCAGGGGTGGCAGGCAAAGTGTTTCAGTTAACACTACCTGAAGTGACTGGTTTCCCTGACTTTCTTGTCGAGAGAAGTAAATATGATGTGGCTATAGAGAGGAACTGGACTTCAAGGGACAAATGTCGTGTCTGGTGGAAAAACGAGGGTGAAGAGGATGGCAATTGGTGGGAAGGTAGAATTGTTAACGTCCAACCTAAATCCATTGAGTATCCGGATAGTCCCTGGGAAAGGTACATTGTCAGATACAAGAAGGGGGATCCCTCAGAACAACACCGGCATAGTCCTTGGGAACTGTTTGACTCTGATACTGAGCGGAAACAGCCTCAGATAGATGAGAAAATCAGAACCAGGCTGCTGGATGCCATGGACAAACTGGAACGATCTGGAAACAAAGTTCAGGTATATTTTCACTAGAAAATGAAGGATAACTCGAACTTGAAAAATGCATTTTAGATATAAGGTCAGATTCATGTTATTTACTCCGCATTTACTTATTTCTAGACTAATTTTATATGGAGTAAAACAATGCAACTATGTTTATGATAAATACCTCTACAAATCTTATGCTACAACCCAACTAGTTGGGTTAAGGTACTTGTAAAGATGGCGATAATCATTATGAAAGACCGGGGAATCTATAAAAAAGATTATTATTTATTTTTTTTACAAAATTTAATCATCTCTTCCATTTTCCTTCACAATTTCCAGGTTATAGCCAAACATAAGAAAATAATTTTTTACTAATCTTCTTTTCCCATTCCCTAGCATTTTCCCATGATCCAAACGTTCTCTAAAAATGTACCCTCACTTCATTTATTCATTAATTTGTTTATTTATTAATTGTGTCAGGACTATTATGGGGTACAGAAATTGAAACAAGTTTCACACAGGTCAATATTCATTAACAGGTGCACTCTCCTTATAAATCTCTTGTTTCTGCCTCTTTTTTTATCCTTTCACAAGATTTGTCTGTTAAGAACTTGCATATTTGCTGTAGCAGGTTTCCGGTGCCATTGTCTCTCGACATTATCCACTCCCGACTGAAGAACAACTACTACCGACGGGTAGAGGCAGTGAAACATGACATAGAGGTGATGCTGTCAAATGCCGAATCTTACTTTGGAAGAAGTGTCGAACTCTGCAAGAAAATCAAACAACTCTCTAACTTCCTCCATAAAACACTCTCATCTTTGTAGCCTGCCCTTCCGCCGCCGCCGCCTTGTGGATACCAGTACAATTTTGTAGGAAAGCCTATACTAGCAAGATCTCTTGTCTTGTTCATCATATAAACTTGAGAGCAAAGAAAAAAAAGGAAAAGTAGGAGGGAAGGAAAGATAAAAGAATTTGTCTCTTTCTTCTTTTACTAGGGTTAGCAGATTTTTCTAACCTTTCAGATGGTTTGTTTCTGGATTTGAAGATGCACAGATTTGGGGGGGGGGGGGTAGAATGGATCTGGAAAAACAAGTCCAGCAATTAGTTCATTTGTATAGTGTAGGAGACTGGAAAAGAAAATGTCAATTGATTGATTAATTAAAAGTTGTTTCTTCTTCCTTTTGTTGTGTTTCATACTCTCCGTCCCAATTTAAATCGCATGTTGTTTATGAAGTTAAGTTGAAGTTTTTTCAATTCAATTTGTTTGAAAATTGGTATGGAATTTAAAAAAAAAATTATATATTTAAAAATCACATCAAAATTCTTACAAAACAAGCAATGATAAGACTTGGGATGAAGTCTTACAAAACAAGAAATGACAAGACTTGGAATTTTCTATGGAGCTCATCTGTGGAACACATAAAACATCCACTGATGGCTTGGGATGAAGTCTGTTTACCCAAAAAATTTGGTGGTTTGGGGATTAAGAATCTAACCCAGGGGAACAAAGCAAACATCATGAGGTTGATTTATGACATTGAACAACATAAGGAAAGTATGTGGATCAAATGGGTACATGGCAGATATCTAAGGAGAACACAATCTGGAAGTGTGTAGCTAAGAATGATTCTTGCTTTTACTGGAAAAAACTACTAAAGATGAGGAGCATCTTTGCAGGAATGACAAGGGCTGGACAATATTCCACTTCTCAGGGCTACAAAGGGAACCATACTGGACAGCTGCTGTATGGAATAAATATTCCATACCAAAACATAAGATCATTATGTGACTCATTTGCAAAGACAGAATACAGACAAAGGTTAGACTGAGCAAGCTCTTTCCCATAGATACCACTTGTATATTTTGTGACGAAGGGGAGGACTGCCAACACCTCTTTTGTCAATGCATATATGCGCGAAGGGTTTATCAACAGGTTTCATCTAGATGTGACTATACAATATACAAAGGGGGACTTGAAAGAGATGCTGGATATTCTTAGTATGATCAAACCCAACAAAATCAAGTGGAAGGTGATGGCTTTTTTTTGCAGCATGTGTGTATGCAATATGGAGGGCCAAGAATTGGAGAAGACACAAGGATACTAGCTAGTATGTCAGTTGAAGAAACGACGCAATGGATTTTTTACCATGTCCACACTTTCATGCATGCTAAAGGTGTTCTATAGAGTCTAATTTAGATTGTTTTGTTCCTCCCTGATGTTAGTATGATACGGACTATGATGTACACAAGTTTTAGTGATAATATTATTTTGCATTCGGTTCAAAAAAAAGAAATGACAAGACTGTTATTTTTTCAAAAAGGTAATGAAACTGGATAAAAAAAAGTGTTGAAATTTGACATCGTGAATAATAAACGAATAACTTAAATTGGGACAGAGTAAATAAGTAAAAAGCCCATTAGCACTTTCCAATCAAAATAAAAATATTAAATCTAAATGCATTCGTTGCAATGATGTACTCCCTCCGTCTTAATTTAAATTGACTATTTCGATTTACGATATATTTTTTTTCAAATCATATGTTTTTATTCTGTAAAGTCAAATTGAGGCTTTTTTTTTACACAGGCTTATTTTGAGTCCTTTTTACCATCAAGGGAACCAATATTATCACTTGATTGTCAATCCCACTTAAGTATTTCGTAGTTACCCACTTGAAGTGTCTCCATCAGCTTCCTAATATCTAATGTGAATATTTTGCTACAGTTCATTGATTATCATTTTATACTATTACATTCATCCCTGAATATTGTTTATTTTTTTTTATGTTTCAGTCAATCATTTTTTATTTTTTACTAACCTTTATTTTTTTTTATCACAAACCCTACCCATCAAATTTGTACTCCCAATTTAAATTAGAGTTGTTCACAAAGTTTGACTAAAATTATTTTCAATTCAATTCGTCTAAAAAATAATATCAATTTAAAAAGTTTATACATTAACAAACTACATCAAAAAATTTACAAAACAAAGAAATGACAAAACTATTATTTTCTCTCACGGGCATCAAAAATAGATAAAAAAAATGTGATTAAAATTTGACCCTATTACAAAAAAAACTCATGCTGCCATTACATTCACCAACAATTACTCCATATGAATTCAGTAAATGCTAACTATAATGGTGAATTAGAAATTTGTCCTTATCAGATGATAATTATATATGGATAGGTAGAAGAATTCAAAGGCACTGTTCATGAGCACTTTTGTAGTGTAGTAAATATCAAACACACTCAGAGCAAATATGATATACTCCAGTAATAATAGCAGATTGGCTTTGTTTTCTTGATACCATAATGTACAATTTTCTCTCAACTTAATTTAATATTACACCACAATTTAGGAGAAGTTGCCCTAACACATAAGCACACTCACATTCCCTAAGACACCCATATTTTCAAAATTTCATATCATCAAAATATAAAACCCAACAAGTCAGTAGTCACTTAAATGACATTCACATAGAAACTAAAGCAAAGAAACTGAAGATCACAAATATGAGATTCAATAAAAAGAAGAGAAACTATGGCTATGAACCAGGTATGGGAGTAGAACAATAATTTACTCTAATAGCATTTAAAGCGTGACCCGGACACTCCCTGCCTTTCCTTGCAATGGCACTGTACATCATACCCCTCTTTTTGGCGAGGATGGCATTCCATTCTGCAGCTTGTTCCATTCTGCAACCTAACTGCTGAGATCAGTAGTCAAAATGTGACGATTATCAGAACACGATTTCGTTCATGATCCATTCACAGCCATTTCAGGAGAAGACTTCTGTTGAATCTCACAAAACTGCCTGTTATTGTTGTTGTTGCTATCAGGAGAATTGGATGATGATGATAAGCCTTGGGAGAAGTTTGTAGGAGACGAAACCTCATCCTTGTCAACACACCTTTCAGCTTCCAAGCTTCCATTACAATCAGAAGAAGGAACCCTACTACTTTTCCCACAACTAGATTCAGTTGTTGAATCCTTTGTGTCCGAGCAAGAAGAATCGCCTTCTTGAGCAGTGTTTGTTGTTTTGACATTAGTTGGCAAAACCGCTTGGCTCAAGGTTGAGCATAGCGCAGCAAAAACACTGTTACGTGACTTTGAGTTTTTGGCCACCCGATGAACTCTTTTTGAGATTGGCTCTTCCTTGGAGCAAAGCTTTCGTTTCAATGGGAACGACTCTACCTCATCTTCATTAGATGGTCCCACTTGTTTCTTAGGTGGTGGTTTGTAATCTTCGTCGTCCTCATCGTCATCATAATCAACAAGTCCCCCAGACCTTAAAATTGCATACGGAAGTTTTTCTTTTGTAAAAGAACCCATGGGGGTGGGGTACACATGCATTCCAATTAGAAGTAACATTACCTGACTGCCACGTAGTTTGAAACGGAGCCATTAGCCAAGACTCTTCGAGGTTGTGCTCTTTTAGTATTCGACACAGAAACCGATGCAGCATCTTCGTCATCACTGAAAACAACTCAAAACAAATAAACTTGCTGCTTAAATACCACCTACATCAAAAAAACTCCAATTTGACTATTGTACAAGTTTTAAATTTTGTGAGGTACAAACGATATAAATAATGAAAAATTATTCATATTTATTTAGCTTAACTAAATTTATCAAAGATACAACTTTGTCTCTCTCTTGGCAAATTACATGAAAAATTAGTTTTGTTTGATTAAATTGGACTCTTTCTAGGATCGAGGGGGAACTTAAAATGCTTACCTGCCCTGATTGAAATAGTCTTCCTCTTCTTTTTCCAAAGCACGTTCATCGCCTCTTTTCCGAGAGTTGACCACGTTAGAAACAGTTCTTGCTCCAGAGGTATCATGAATCTGAAGGAGCCAATTGTAGGTTAAGTACACAACAGAACACCTGAGCCATATGTAATACTCTCTGTCTCTGAATAAGTGTCACGTTGGTGAATTCTTTTACTTTTACGGATCATGCTATTTCATAAAGCACTAAATGCAGTAATTGAGTTTATAAATAATTCATCTCTGACTTAGTATGTCATTCAAGAAAAATATTGTAATCCAATTGAAGGGAAAACCCACCTAACTATCTGTATTTTTTTCCTTGAGTAGAGTTGCATCTAATTCCTTAATTTATGTGCAAAGGTAAAGTGTGACACTTGTTCAGCAACGGGAGGAGTACCTTGCAGAAAAATAAGTTGGAGGTCTTGTACAAGACAAGAAATAACCTGGTCATATTTAATTTTTAAAGATTGAATAGATGAAAACTTATTGAATTCGACCAGCTGATCCCAAAATGTATCCACCAAATATTTAAGTAACATTTTTAGAGTTTCTGGCTGCATGCAAAGATATATCAAATGAGATCATGAAAGGAAAAAAAAAGAAGAAGAAAGAAAGCATTCACAACTACACATAGATACAATGTATGATCCAGAAAAGGGGTAAAGAAATGAATTTGTACCTTACGGATGTACTCAAAAAGTTCAAGAACAGCAGAATTCAAAAGATTATACCGATTGCCATTGGCAACAAAAACATCAACAACTGGTTTCAAAAGATTGTTCCTCACTATATGGTTCATCACATGTTCATCCTGCATCATTACTTTTCAAAATTAGCTAGTGTAAGTGTACAACAGCAGAATTCAAAAGACTTTGCCGATTGCCATTGGAGACCTTACATTTCTGCTTATCAGCCTTGTGAGTAAGATTGTTTTCCAAACATCAACTCAAACTTAGGTAACTACACAGATTCATTTGGTTATAATGAAAAAGTAGTGCATAAGGTACTATTATAGTGATATTGATGGATTGAATGAAAATGACAATTTTACCTTTATTTTCATATATAATCAAATTCTTTATTTTAGTTGAATATATTAATGTGATAGCTGTCAACACTGGCTCCCTAATCAAATATTTGCATGTGCTACCGCACTTGAGCAGATGCAAGACTAAGTCAACAGGTCTACAAGTGAAATGTTGAGTATATAGAGCTTACATTTCGAGAGATGAGAGTTCGCATAAATCTAACTGCAGATACTACAAGATATTTTTCTCTTCTCTGAGTCAGCAACAGAACTTTGTCTATCACATTGTTAAGAAGAAAGCTGCATCTGCAGCAGAAAATGAAAACTCTAGATAAATAAAGCAAATAATTTGAGCTCATTCATGTAGATAAACATATGGGAGACAATAACATTATACTTTATTCTATAAGGATGGTGCACGACACAAAAGCACAGAAGATCACAAATGTTGAGTAGAATTTCAGGCTTTACGCTCCTCTGCTTCTCAGCTCCTTCAATATAGCTCAAAGAGTCTATTGCAGTTTGTGAATCGTTGTTTGGAAGACATGAAGCTGTTATGGCATCAATTAGTTGTCCAAGGTGCTTCTCATAGAAAATGTCAACAATATTCTCTCTCTGCAAGACATTTAAAATATGCATAACTCAGTTATGCATTAAAACAAGACCAGAGCAGCACAATGTGATGTGCAATTTCTCCCAGGGTAAGTGACAAAACACATATCCATAGGTAGATGAAAAGCATGATGATAGATACTTTTCCTCTCTCTAGCCACTCAATTTAGGTTTATAAATACTATACCAGAGGAACTTTTTAGGAGTTCAGAACTAAGGAAAGCTAATCCCTTTATNCAAACATGATAAGCAATTACAAATCAAAGATGTCAAAAGAAAAACTAAATTGGAAACTGTAGGTATTTAATTTTTTTCTTCAAAGCACCTGAGTCCCTGATGTATATGAATCCAAAAGACTGCGAAGAATTTCAAGGAACTGGCAGTGCATATCATCTCCAAAATCAGTCAACATGCCCTTTACCTGTAAAGAGTGCATTATTTCTATAACACCAGCAGAAGAACATAACAAGAGTGGCTACGCCCCTTTCCCTTTCAAGGCAGGACTGGCCTTCAAAGTTCAAAGTCATAGTCTTATATAATAAGTTATAGATAAATTAAAAATAATGCACCAAACAAATGCAAATACACTACCAAAGGGAAATGTTTTCAAAGATTCAGTTAAACATAACGCTAAGGCATCCATGCAATTTCTTACGGAGTCGTTCTTTTAGAAAATAATACAGAGAACTAAATTTGTTTGAAGGAAAGATGGCTGATTTCAGATTAAGACATCGGACACCTATCACACAATGATATTGAATTGAATATGGTTTTCAACATATCCTACATCAACACTAAAAGGCATTTTTTTGCATCAATAGGAGGACCATACTGTAAAACATCATTTAAAAATTGCTAACAGCTCAACAAGCGTGAAAGCAAGCTCAATCACAAAATGTACCAAAAATAGTATGTATGCAACTAAAACAAATTAGTCATGTACGAAATACAAGGCTTCTAAAATTTTGCTTCTAATGTTGCTGGAAAGAATGAAGTCATTGTAGGCACACAACAAGGAGATAATCATAGTTGTTGTTAGATTTAATCGGGTTTGTTCACATATTACATATAACCGAATGGGTAATGGGTCAATGTTCGAGTCGGTTAGTATGGAGTTGGTTAGTGTGTTTTCATATTTAATTAATTTAAAAAAAAGTAGTTGGGTAGTTTCTAAAAGCGGTTATTGGTAGTTTCTAATGTTAATAAGTGTGTTGGTTTGTAATAGTTGTGTTGGTTAGTAAAAGTCTTGTTGGCTTGTTCTCTATTTATATTTAGAGAACACAAAGAATCCCGTACAAGCACACTTCAATAAAATATTCTACTTTGCTTTGATCTGGTTCTATCTAACACTGGTTCTGTCTAACAGTTGTCACGGTGCAAAGGTGCGGCGCGGCTCCAGTACACCGCCAGGACACCTAGTCACCTAGGCGACACATAATAAATGAGAATGGCTATACGTTAGTAACCCTAATATAAATAAGTACATAATACTCCATATATTTCAATTCATAAAATTCAAAGTTCAAATTTAGCAAATTTTAATATCTATATGAAACAAAATATTTAACTAATAAGTTCAAATTAACTTCGATACAAAGTTAAAAATTAGAAAATCAAAATAGTACCTTTCAAAAAATAAAGAAATAAATCAAAACAGTACTCCAAGAATTAGGCTTGACAAAGGTAATTACTCAAAAATAAATGAGAACACAGAATTTTTTTGTTTTTTTTATTTTCAATTAATTAATTATCTTCGTGTGACAAACCAAGACAATGGAACAAAAAGACTAACGATTAACTCTAAAAAAAGCCTACAAACCCAAGAGAGAACAGACCCATCCTTTGGCTCAACCCATCCCCCCCAAAAAAAGTAAAGATAATAAAGGAAGCACACAAAGTCCAAAGAATGGAACGAAGAAATTGATGGCAATGAACATAGGATGCGGGGAAGGCAGTAGATCTCTTTCCTCTGGCAGCGGATCTACGTTACAATGGTGGCAATATGTTTGGATTTTTGGATCTGAAATCCGGAGACCATACGCTAGGGTTTTTTAATCTCATATCAGTCGAACTCTCTTAGCAGTCGTGAGGCATCTTTTGGTGACTGACTGGACGCTGAGGCATCCCTAAGGCAACGCCAACCTTAACATGGAAAAGTAAGGCGAGGCGAGGTTCCATGGCGTGAGCTCCACCCCGCCAGGACAATTATGGAGATGATAAGCCAAACAGTGCTCAAGACCGAATAAATAGTCTCATGGAACTCTACAGATAATTGAACTGTTAAAAGGTTGCCCATATATCGGAATCTTTACCCATGTGTGTGCGTGTGTATGAAGAATTGAAGATGCTGCAGTAGCAGATGATGAGGGGCTGCCAGTGGTGGTGCCGTGGTGGGGGCTGGGATTGGTGGTGGGGATGTGGGGATAGTGGAGGATGAGGGTGATGGTGGTGGTTTTGGGCGATGGTTGGTGCTGGCGGTGATAGCAAGGCTTGCGGTGGTGGTGGGGACTTGCGGAGACGGTGGTGCTAGGGAGGTGGTAGGTCTGGCAGCAATGGGCATCAAGCACAGAACAGGGAAGGGCAAGGGAGAGGAGGGAAAAATTGGAGAGTCAAAGGCTTTTTTAACTCTCCTAAAAAACCATGAGAAGTCAAAAATGAGAACTTTGGCGGACGGAGGGAGTAATATAATGCAGTCTTCTAAAAAGCACAAGATGCTAGTCTGGCAGAACATTGAGACCTAGCATCTAGGCAAAACCTACGTGGAGCAGAAACTATTTTGGCAGATCAATTTAAAAATCGTTTGCAGAAAGCATAGCACCTCTGCAGGGCTTTATTGAAGAGATATATCATGCACCATAGTGGGAGTTAGAGCTTCATGAGCAATTATTAACAAAAATGAATTTGCAACTCACCAGAAGCCCAAACAAAGAAAGACCTTCTGGACGATATACATAAGAGCGCAAAAGATTTGGGTCTTGATTTAAGAAAAGAATGAGAATATCTGTCCTGCATTCATTACAAATCCCAAAGAAAAGGATCTCATAAAGGGTTAGAAATTGATGCTGAAAAGAAAACTCACTGCTTAAAATCACTATAAATACATTACCCTGTTAATATGAGTTTTTTGTCTTGACTCTGCAACACATCACTGACAATGTCAAAGATACCCTCATTGACAAGATCCCTACATTTACATGCCAAGAACTGAATCATTCATACACAAGTGTGCTCAGCCGTAAGTATATACCATGCAAATCGATAACATGAATTCACAAAAGATCTTCAAAAGGGTATACTTGAATAGCCGAAGCTGCTGGACCATCTGCAGACTCTTACTTGAAGTACAGAACTCATGCAAGAAGCGTACCTATTATTTACCAAAGAGATCAATGTTCCAATTGTTTTTTATATATACATGTGTGTGTGTGTGATAAATCAGATGATTGTTTAGATAATGACATGTTAATGCACCATCATTACCAGATTTTTCTTTGACTCGCCAGAATCAGTGGAAGATTTTAATCTCACAAATAACTCACGGATGAAGGTACTGTCGTCTTTCAAAACAGAAACAACCTACAAGATAACAGAGTCAGGAACTCTATCATATATTTAAAATACAAGGCTTACTAAAATACAAACTACTTACAAATGCGTTATTCGAATGTATTAAGTTAGCAAGTGTCGTAGCAGTAGCATCATCTAATATCCGAGGCAATATGACATCCTGGATGAGGAAAATGAGATTCAAGGTTAATTACAAGAATCCAAGATAGAAGACTCAAATTTTGATCATATGTACCTTCATATAACCAACTCTATATGTTTGATGTATCTTTGACAGCACTACTGGATCTTTTATAGGAATAGCCTAAATATGCAACCACAAAGAGAAGAGAAATTAGCATAGAAGGAATATAAAGCGGAATCAAACAATTATTGAACTACACCATATTTTTCGAATGTAATATTTCCCTATATCATCATTCATAGCAAATCTTTACCTCCTTAAAAACCACATTCTCTTTCAAAAAATTGCGATGATGGACATTAGTTACATCTGGGTCATCTGAAAAGGAAAAGCAACTTATTGGGCAAAATGTATGATAAAGGGCTCAAACAATGGCCAAGAAACAAGCAATAACATGATGTTCATAGTATTTATAGTTTTAAACTCAAAAATGCCTTTGGAAAACATCTTCAAGAGGTTTTAGAAATTCAAAAGATGAAAAAAAATCAATAAGAATTGAAAGCCTTGAAAGAGGCGTACCACAGTATGAATGGAATTGCACAAAATCTAAAAACTTCGACCACAGTCATTTGATTGAGATGCATGTTCAATTTCATGACAATATTACTAAATGTTACAAGTTCAAGAGCCTTTTATTATAGCTTAACTGTAACCTTTTAATTTGATACCACATTTATCAGAAAGTTCTAGTTATACTAAGACTTAGGCATCACAGCTTGCTTCTCACCACACCACTTTAAACTTAATGTCAAGGATAGGGGCCCTAACACTATGTTTGGTCCATGGAATTCGAAAGTAAAGAAAAGAAAGTTGATTTCTCTCATTTTCCTCTCTAAAATGGAACTTGGAAGGAATGTTGTTTTCTTGTTTCTTAGTTCATTTCTTCTCCCATTTTTTTCCCTTTCAATTTTCTTTTCTTTTCCCCTCTAACCAAACAAGAAAAATTGTTTTCCCTTCTATTTTTCTTTTTTTTCCCTTTCAGATTCCTTGAACCAAACATAGTGCAAGAGAATTAGAAGTTAGGAAGAGAAAGCAAATACAAGAAGCAAACAACCTCCTATTTGTAGCATTTAGGGAGATAATAACACATCATTCCAAGATCTACCTTGGATAGAAAGCCAAGTAATGTGTCACATGGAAGTCTTTTATTTGATACAAGGAAAGTATAAAACCCAAATTCATGCTCTACACTCATTATTTAAAGCTCATGAAGATGGTCTTACCCATTCAAATTCATATGTTCAAACGTTGGGGTGTTTTCTTTAAGTTACAGGCCTAAATGTGTCTTGTACATGGGACAGCTCAAGGAAGTCCACTATTGCACATCCACTTTATGGCCAATTTGCTTCTAGTTTTTAGAGGTTCATTGCCTTACTCAAATTGTATGTTGTAGCTAGTTAGTAAGAAGTTTACACTTGCTCGTGATGCCATAAAACTTCAAATGACTCTTGTAATTCATTGCTACAATGATATGTAGTGTTATTCCAATGAGTTTAAGAACTTTAAACTGTCATTTGTTTAAGCTCTCAAAATCTTGTTCTTATAAAGTTATGTAAGGAAAGTTTAGGCCAAACTTGGAAAGATTAGTTTACAACACACCATTTATGTTGATGAGAGACCAACTACGCTCTACAAGTTCTAAGGTAGTTTTTCTCACTTATAAATTGCAAAAAGCAAGAATGAGTGTGGCGTCTATCATGCACATTTCATTTCATCATATTCATTCACTAACTTGTGGAATCATACTAGCATATTTCAAATATAATCAATAAATTACCCAACCAACTTAAGGTCAACTTCCAAAATCCAAAACCTAGCCAAACTATGTACATAAAGATAGGAAAATCCAACACAAAGATAGCAGTTGGAATCAATGTCCATGCTAGGTACATAAAGATAGGAAAATCCAACACATCAGACATATACTTTGAGCAAGAAACTGTCATGACATTTTGGCATCAATACAACTGCAGACCGCAAAGGTCATCAACAAACGAAAGAATAGTTCTTGCTGATATGTTCTAATCTATTCAGGATTTCAGGTATCAGAAAAAGATAAACACGAGCAGCCATCTGGACCCCACTTGAAAAGGAGAACCATAGTAACTTCATGTCAACTTTGACTAAATGCTCATTGATAGGATATGAGGAAAAGAAATATAGATGTTTAGAAGTGCACTCTAGAAGATTTTGACCATATGCATACACATTGAGTATTTTTACAATGATCCATCTGAATCAAAATGAAGAAAGTGACTATGTATGTGTGTGTGTGTGTGTGTGTATGAAACATCTTTATATAGCATGAGACATCTCAAACTATAAACTGGAGGACTTACATTCAAGGCACCCAATGATATCCATGATTAATTCATCACTGAATATTTTTTCAAAAATCTGGGAACTATTGAGAAAAACTGCAATAAAGCATTAAACATTAGCACATTAACAATTGGATCTGTTTGAGTGTTCTTGTATAAGAAATTAATTGTACTTACTTATTCCTTTAACTATTTTAAAAAGTATGTGAAGACTGTCCATGTCCTCAAGATCTTCACATATTCTAAACAAGCTCATCAATTTTCTGAAAAAGTCTTCCTACACAATAACCAATAAATGTAGTTAAGCATGTGCCAAAATGGCTGCTAAAATTAACAGAAGGGAAGAAACCCCAAAGAAATGAGATGTCAAATAAAGAGAGAGAATGCTCAAATCAATCAAAGGCAATTAAAAATGTGTACATCCAACTAAAAAATAATACAGAGTAATAAATAAAAAGGTGGAGCTTACATCATGCAACATCAGTTCCATCATATGTAACTGGTCGGCAATGCCACTCTCCATAACAGCCTGGGAAAAAATGGACTGGTTTTTAATATATATAAAAATGTGTATATTCCAATTGAAAAAGAATAACATAATAGAAATAGAAAATAACTGCAAAACATCTTCCAACAAAACAAAACAAAAAAGCATACCAAGCACGACAAAAAAAGTAAAAATACATTTTTTGAGCCCCTAAACCATGTGCATTCCAATGAGACGCTCAACTTTTAACTAGACCTGTGGAGCATGTGAAACTACATGATTAGGGGCCTTAATGGGGCTAACCCACCAAGTTTAGATGCAACAAAAACAACAAACCAAGTGTAATCGCACTAGTGAGGTCTGTGGAGGGTAGGATGTCCGCAGACCTTAATTCTACACGTGAATAGTAGAGGCCGTTCCCATAAACCCTCGGCTCAATGGGATAAAATAGATGCATTTCCAAAAATATCATACATGGATCAAAGGGTAAAGAAGAAAAGGAATAGACTGAAAAGAAAGGGTTGATCCCAGAGCAGGCCATGTGAAGCGGTGAAGCAGATCTAATAATTGAAATAATAACAACAATGCACAATCAGATAGAAATATACAATCTCAAATTGTGAAGAAGAGCCATATCCCAAAAGAAGCAAATAAAAGAAGACATAGGTGCACCTTGAGTATCAGAGGGAGGGTTGATATTTCAACTGGAGGCAACTCCCTCAACTCGCTACTGATATTGTGATACCTCTCACCTGAATATTTCATTTCACATCGGAGAAAAGGTTACACAACTCATGCAAAATAACCCTGTTACTACAGTACATTAAATCAAAAGGGCAAAGTTTTAAAAGACATTTATATGAGATATATGCAGGAAACTTCATAACATTAAACTTTCTGGAGAACTGAGAATAGCAGCTTCATTCAGTCAAGAGGAGACCACTGGCTGTGTTGCTTATATGAGTTGCTTCTTTCAGTTGAAGCTGATTGGAAGGTTTGGAGGTTGGGGTGTGTTGGTTAGCATTTTGTTGTGGTTTTTTTACAACTAATACATGTTTGTTCCATTTGAAAGAAAAGAAAAATGCACAAGAATACTCCTACGAGCTAATCTGTATCCCGGATATACTCCAAAGATAATTGGATTTATCCTTTGTTTAGTTTATGCTCAGTTGGTTACTATGCCAGCGCCACATCCGCCCCACCTCACCGATTCGGCAACATCTTTGGAGCACTTTTGTAACACAACTTTACTCTTGGGAGCACTATTGCAAGACAGTCTAAACTTTTAGAGTATTCATATGTACTTTTCTTTAAAAAGTTGTGGCAATTTATTTTTAGTTCTGTTGTACTCACTCAGTCCATATTTAATGCTCTCATTTTGACGGTATACGAACTTTAAGAAAATGAAATTGGGTGGTTGAGCATTGTTTATACATGAAAGAAGCAATATGGAGACTATGGACAACAAAATTCTTTCCTTAAAAGTGAAAGGGAAGATTAATTATGGACACTTTAAAAAAATATATATGGGAAGATAAAAAAGGGTGGAGGGAGTATCTTAACTTTATTCAATTTTATAATCAAAATTAATATTATTTTACTTGAAAGAACAAAAGAATAACAAAATAAAAAAGGAAACAAATAAAAATTTAAAAATGATGAAAAATGTTTGTAATTTTCTTTTGTCGAATATGACAACAAATCTAACTACATACAAGAAAAACAAAATAATTGGATAAAAGTTCCACAAGAGGTGTTTGAGATTTTCAATAATTCTAAACTTGATTGTTGTAAGCGTGCAAAAAGAGATATGTTTCTAATCATTTTACGAACAATTAAAGTCATCAATAAGGTGCAATAGAATCATTAGAATGTATAAAAATGTTTACATATTTTGGAGAGCTCGTGTGCATTTTCCTATTAAAGAAACTAGGACCTAATAGATTGCCTATAGGGCCACATTTTGAGCATCATTCAAAAAAAATAAAAACATAAAAACACTAATAATTCTACAATAGGGAAATTGATACTCTAACAATGACAAGGCAGGATAAATACTTAATTTGAATCGGTTGTATCTGAGAAGGTGATATCTGGAGGATGTCAATGGGGGTGGGGGTGGGAGGTGAAGAAGGACATTTGTGTGAACTGTGAAGGTCCAAGGGTTCAAGGTAGGGCAGGCGGGTTTGGCTGAACTTGAAAATAATATCATGAAGATGGGAATGAGAGGGATAAGTGAGTCTTGGAGGTTAGTTGATAGCATATAAATTCACAACAAAGATAAATTCGACTTTCATTTTCTAGATAAGGCCTAGGTGAGATTCTCGAAAATAAAAAACGAAAGCAGTATAGTATGAAAAATGGTTTCCCGTTATGATTTCTCATGTTTTAATAAGAACAAATATGTCAAAAAAATTACCAAATGACCCCCTTAATAAGGAAGTAAAGATGTCATGTTTATGCATTAAAACGTATTTAGAGAAAAGATAAGGAAAATTAGATATATGACCTCATTCAAAATGTGAACATAGTGAGTTATAATATACATAAAATATAGTCACCTATAATGATAGTAAATCATTCAACTCTAAACTCAAATCTAAAACCATAACTCTATCAGGGGTAAAGCCACGAAGCAATACATAGTGAAAAGGAGAGAGCAGAGCATCTGAAATATATTTTATCTATAATACATTAAGGTTGGACCAGTGAAATTCAAAGTGTTGTAATACTCAAAAATCATGAAAGTGCACTGCATTCTCATTTTCCATATTGATGGAAAGACTACTGCAAAACTTACTGTTGAGATTATTGATCTGCATACTTCTTTGAACATTACAGATTTGTTCCCTACAAGAAAGGTCAATAAATTATATCATATGTGGTAACTCCACAAATTCAAAAAAAACAGATTGGTAAATTGTAAATCCATGGAAGATGAAATTAGAAAACCTAATACAACTACTTGCCATATGTGCGCACAGCCAGTTGTCTCTTGAAAGCTAAGGGCAAGTTCCGTTGAGTACTCTGGATCTCTCCATGAAATTATGGTATCTAAATATGCCAAGTACGCTTGTATTTATAATAAGCAGTTGCAGAAGAAAAAAATTTGTAAATCTCAGGGAAGAGAACGAATGGAACATGAGTAATTACAGAGAATCGAATGGGAAAAAAGAGGCAAAACAATAGGTCAACAAATACAAACCTTCTTGTTTACGATATATATCTTCGGAGCTGATGCGATGAAGTAGCAGTGTTTCATTGTCAGCCTCATCAACAACAAGCAAGCCAACTTCTTCTGATCTCTGTGTTCCGTGCCACCCAAAAGATAAGGTATAACGAGACATAAAATAGAATAGGAACATCTCATTATGCCAAATTTAAAAATTAGTCAGACAAACAGTCACCTCCAGATAATCTACTGTTACATGTCCTGTTCCTTGGTCATCCCATTTTGCATCATCATTTAGACGGTAGACCTTAACACGCTGAAATAAGAGTAATATAGGTAAGACTCATTTAAATGGGATGAAAAAATTAAAGATTTTTACAAGAGAAGTAATTGTTGTTAACAATGGGATTTATGAGAACAGTAGTGAACAGAACTAGGACAAGCATCACGTGGCAGGCAATCACAGAACATTCACCCTTTTACCAAAAAACATAGGCATTTTGAATGAAGAAACTGCCACCGGACATCAATTAAGCTCAAAAGCCAATTTAGAGGGTTTAACATTTTAAGGTATGAGATACTGATGGCAAATCCTATCGCTAAAAACAAAAAGACATTTCAGATACAAAGCATACACATGAAAGAGTCATTGTCTCTTATTTGATTCAAGTGCAAACAAATTTCAACTCTTTTGATCAATGAATTATGACGTGAGTAAATAAAAAAACCAAGCAGACTGTCAATTTTCCTTAAGAATCAACAGTTCCAGTCTCTTCAAGAATATATCAGATTCATTGTTTGAAAGAACACTACAGGAATTTTTTTCTTATCTTCATGTGGACTTGTGTCTATCAACTCTGCAAGGCATCCTGATCATGGATGAGTAGCTAAATGCCTAAATTACATAATATGTTGGGGCTACTGAACTTTTAAGGACATGTAACAGTCTAACAGAGGCCGTAAAGAACTCAAAAACAAGCATATGCTTTACGGCGCAATAGATGAAAAATTAGTCCAAAAGAGCATAAAAGGAAAGTAATAACTCTGTCCAAAATTAGTCCAATAGATGCCAAAAACAGTAAACTGTCATCACGACAAGTGAGGATATGTGAGAGCTTATATTGCACGCAATATCCCAAGATTATCAAGGCAAAGGATTCAATTGTACTATAAAGTCAGGTGTATACGAGGAGGTTATTTAGATTATTGACATTAAACAAAACGTCAGCTGAAACTGATGCAAATAAAAAATATGGTTTCAATCGTAATCATTTGTCCTAAAACATCTTAACAATGCTGATCCAGATGTACCCTTTGGGGGAAAGAAGACAAGTAAGATTGGGTCCACCAAATAAAAGGATAGAAGATATGATACACGAATGAGTAAATTTTTAAAAAAAAATGTTAGCAGTGTTCAACTTTGGGAAGTGAAAATTATTATGGGACAGACAAAAAAAGAAAGTAGATCCTACAAAATGGTCAGGAGTTGGTTATTATTTGACCAAAGGTTAAAAATAAATGCAGGACGCGGGTGTAGTCATGTAGCACAAAAAAAGTTGCAACCATTCGAGTTTAATGAGGCTATGATCTGATTTGGCAAAAAATTGGAAAGTGGAGACAGGGAAAACCAAAGGTGACTGAAGTTCCAAAATTGAAACATAAATCTCTAGTAACATCAATTACTTTCCAAAAAGCATTGTTATAAAGTATCCGCACTTACAAGTTACAACCCATCCAAAAAATGAAATGAGTGAATAAAAACTTGTTAGCATAAATTTCTGTTACATTTGCACACATCTAGGATGTGATACATAACACAAATTCTGTTTACTATTCCAAGCTTTACTTGTAACCAAATCAAGCATAGTTGTTAAAAGATCAAGTCACGCACCTAGGCACCAGCATTGAACCTTAATTATTTCCCAAGGCTTCTCTTTCTACTTTTCAGAGCATGTCTTTGAGATGCGTGCAAGTATTAAAACGTTGATAGTTATTTTGAAGAAGCAAATATCCTAGCGACTATTAAGGGTGAGCATGCTCATTCCCTCCTAACTAGAGATTACCAAACAAAATCTCACAGCCATGCTCTCTGCCTTATTTCTGACCAGTGGCGCCCAACTTCAGCTTAGTCCAACATTCTCCCACCTCTAGTTCCTGCAACTTTATTGTAGGCATCGACATTTTTTGTTTGCCATGGTTAATTAGTTTTTCACTTTTTGTTTGGAATATTATTATGAATCAATAAGCATTTGCTAATGTTTTTCCTAGTGTTCAAGAAGCGCACACCTCAGGCTCACGGAGGCCAGGCAAAACTAGGTGCACCTTGCACATTAAACAACTATCAAAACAAAATGGACAAACAGCTTCAATGGTTAGTAACATCCTAGTTCTTGGGTGACAACAAACGTTCATTGTGATTGACTTCTAAATAGATTCAGTTTACATCGTTGGATTCAACTCTTGAACAGCCAAATCATTGAGTCCAAATCCATCTGCCTAAATCCACAAAATAACATCACATGGTGTGTAAAGTTTCAAGAATGAAATTGTTCCTACTTTATAACGGCGAACAGAAACAATAAATTTGCAACATGTAGAAGCTCCTTGGCATCTTTAATGGCATAGATATATTTCATTATTAGTAGATAAAGCAGATTAAAACACATACTCCACTGTCTAAAACTCCAGAAGTCAAAGTTACATTCCTAACCTAGAATCACAAGGGTATACCAAACTAGTGGAGAAATAACTTGTCAAGGACTCTGACAAGATTCTACTTTATTTCCGTAGATATGGCCTAAAAATTAAATTCTGAACTACCCTCAGCCATAACCCCTAATAAAAGAATCCAGGCATTCATATAAATGAAGCAATTTGCAAACTACATGCAAAATTTCATGTTGTTGATAGACTTTTGTCAAACAGTAGTAGTCTCTTGGCATAAATCTGACAACCAAAATTCAATCAGACTATAAATTTAAATCTCAATTACTCCCTCCATCCCAAAGGCTGGGCAAAGATTTTAATAAAGTGAATTCATGTAGAGGAGATACAAACACTTCGAACCAGGTAAAATTTTCCAAATAGAGAAAAAGGTGCATCTTTCTGAGACAGACCAACAAGATGAACAAGCACGCCTTACATAGGGTGTACATAATAAGCCATGAAGCACAGAAAAAAATGACAAAACAAAAGTGGGGAAAATTTAAAGTTCAAACATAAGGAATCATATCTACAGACTCAAAGGCCACACGAAACCACTTCACATTCCCCCAGCAAAAAAAACCCAGTTCTGGGAGCTTGCAATGAGAACTAAATCAACACCCAGCTTATGGGTGCAAAAACAAAAGCTACAAAAGACAAACTAATCAACCAAACCCAAAACCATTCACCCAGCATTCAAGGACTCACTAAAGACTAGCATTCATGTGAGTGGGGGAGCAAAGACCAGAACTTTACTCGCACACAATTCCGCACGAAAACTAAAACTGAACCATAAATTGAAAAGAAAACAAAAAAAAAAGAGAGAATCCTTTTCTTTCTTTCTTTCTTTTAATAATTGGGGAATTGGCAAAATCTCCCAGGAAGAACGCACCTGGAGCGAATTACCCTCGTTGGGCGACTTGTCCTGAGCACCCATGGAAGCCAAGCGGGGGGCGAAATTCACAGAAGCAACAGCAGGGATTGAATTGAGGGGCGAGAGCTGATTAGGGTTTTGCAGAAAGAAGAAGCGAGAGGGGGAAGGAAAAGACTCTGCTTGCGTTCTCCTTTCGCGGCAAAAGATGAATCAAATAAAAACCCTAACTGACATTCCCGTCAGAGTATCAAGCGAAGCAGTGAATCTATCCTCCTCTTCGCGCTCTCTCTCTCTCTCTCCTAAATCTTGTGGGTATCACCTCGACCTCAGAGAGAAACAGAACAAGAAGTACCACGCAATTCGTTGGGTGGGGGAGAGAGAGAGAGAATGACGTGAATGCCCTCGAGTTCGGATGAAAGTTACGAGGACTTGCCACTGTGATTTGTCTGAATGAGTGAAGGAAAATTTGACGCGCTTTCTTCTCGTGGTCAGCAGTGGTCGGAGGTATTTTAAAAAAAAGAAAACCATTAAATCATGAGCCATATTCTCCAAATTGGAGTCCCTAACTTATATACTCAAAGTAAGAGCAATCTATTCAAGTGGCATTCATCTCCCCCTTTCTGACCCCTTCTCGGTGGTTCAACTTGCTCTTTCTCTTCTTACACCGGCTTCCCACCACCATCATCAAACTTTTAGCAATTGTAAAATGAAGTAAGTCAAATTGGTTCAATTACTTCAACACAATTTTTTCTCTCTCTTTTTCTCTCTAAGAGAAGGCCAAGCTCCCATCAATCGAAGAGAGTCTCCAAACCATTTCTAAAAAAATCGATCAGTCGTCTTCTTTTTCATGCTTCAATTAATTTTTTTTTCTTGTTTTTCAATTTGTAAATCTACTTTCAATCCCTTATCCTTAGTTTAGCTTCCTCACATGTCCACCACTTTCTCCTTGATCTATAACCGCCCAACTCATGTTTGGGCTTCTGGTGATTCTGACAGAATTTAATCAGTGACCTTTGTAGTTTCGATGGTCTCATAGGGCCGCTCATTTGTTTAATTTCATTGTTACTTATCATTAAATTGCAGATTTGACATGTTAGAATTTTTTAACATTAATTTTGACTTTTTCATTGTTGGAACTACAGTATGAAATGTGGCATTGTATGTAGGCAAATCAGTCTTTCTTGGCATTTTATTTCCTTTGAACATTATATATTGATATGTTTGGCATTTGTACAGTAACACATTTGTCATTTTGCAATGTCATATTTGTCATTGCAGTTTCGTCTAGCATTATATTGAGAGTCACTGTGGCACCATGTCACTGCGGTCAGGTGACTGACCTTGGTGGTGTCTGTGGCAACAACAACGTAGATGGCAGAAAGCAATGGCATCGAAAGACTTTGATGGTGGAGTGGCACAACAAGGATGTCGACGGCAATAGAGACATCGGTATGATTTTATGTTGTGTTATCTGTTGTCATTTTTGACATTATGTCCTTATTTGACATCGCGAGAGGGAGATGGAGGTGGAGCAAGTTGTGAGGTTTGACAGGGGTGCAACGACACAACGAAGCTAAGAGGGCAGGGGTGGAAGCGGTGATGGCACTACAATTCAATCAAGTGATGGCGGTAGCAATTATCATGAGATGGAGAGGTAGACAATAGAAGGAAATTTATTGCTCGACCAGTGATGATACTTTTAATGAAGAAGATAAATTGTAATGGAATTAAAGATAGTATGCAGGTAGTACTGATGATGCTTTTAACTCCTATTTTTGGGATTTATCTTTCAACTCCTATTTTGGGATTTTATCAATGTTTTACTCCTATTTTACTCCTTAACCCTTAAAAAACATTTTATTGAACTAGTACCATTCTAGGATTCGTTCCGTTCAACTTATTTTTTCTAATCTGATCTGATTTTTTGTAGTTCTGATCAGATCTGGTCTGATCAGATCTGGCCTGATCTGATTGGATCTGATTTGGTCTGATATGATTGGATCTGATCTAGTCTGATCTGATTTGATTAATTATGATTTGATGTAAAATTCAAATCAATAGTTTGATTTAAGCTTATAATAACATTTAAAAATTGTAATGATAATTTATATTATAATATAATCAATATTTTTTATTTTATTATTATTTTTTAATAAAAAAAATTAGTCTATTCATATATTAGAATAATCATTCATGTTATAATGTAATAATATTTTTATTTTATGATTATTTTTTGTGAAATAACAATATTGATTTAGTATTTTAATTGTTAGTTCATATATACATTAGAATAAATATTTAATTTATACATACATTAAAAAGTAATTAAATTTAGATAATCAATATAGAGAAGAGATAGTATTTTTATTAAAATATTTCATCCTTATAAAAGATCAAAAGTTTAGAAACTCAAATTACAGGTAGAAATAAAAATGTATTTTAAAAGTATAATTAGATTGACATTGTCAATGTATTTTAAAAATAATTTTTCCGACGTCTAATTATTAAGGATTACTTTCTCAGTTTTCTATTTAACTTGTTTCTAAAGTTTATTCTTTTTCATTTTTAAGAATAATAATAATAATAATAATTTTTGATGGGATTTAATCTGATTGGATCTGATCTGATTTGATCTAGTCTGATATGATCTGGTCTGATCTAATTTGATTTTAATAAGAATAAGAAAAAATAAGTTGAACAGAATGGGGCCCTAGTCTGGTAAATGTTTTTTATTACCCTTCATAGTTTCAAAATTTACTTCGCTATTTGGTCTTTGATGGTGTAAACTAACGTAATACTAAGTCACGAAAAGAGAAAGGGTGGTAGGTGAGAACAATTGTAACCCGGGTAGTTATTAATAATGTAGGTACTAATTACAAGTTTACAAGTCGTGTCGATTATTTATTGTCTTTTTCTTTATGAGGCTTTCACTCCTATTTATAATAATAGAAAATACACTATTCAACACAACTGTTCATCTCAAGTCATCCACCCGGGCAGTCTTCAAGACGGCCAGTCTTCAAGTCATCCACCCGGGCAGTCTTCAAGTCATCCACCCGGGCAGTCTTCAAGTCGACCAGTCTTCAAGTTATCCACTCGGGCTGTTTTCAAGTCATGATCTTACCGGTCTGACCCCCAAAATCCACCTGGAGTGATTAATAAGGACGGTGAGGTCAAGCCTGGTCAGACTTTAAGCCTTCTGTGAATGAAGTCACAATCCCACAGGTCTGACCCCTGACATCTACCCTGTCAGATTACCGGGGTCGGTGAGGTCAGGTGAGATCATACTTCGGTACCTCACGGGAGCCTGTGAACTTACCGGGTTGTACCAATGGGTTATACCCATTAGTCTTGATATTTTTATGCTAATGGCTCTCTAAACTAAGATACCCTTCGATGAATTACTCTTTTGTCTCATATGGTTTTGAAAATGGTCTGGTGTAATACATTGGTCTAAGAATATCACAACTAACACGATATGTGATGAATTAGATAAATTACCATTCTAATATTTTGCCCTACAAATATTAGATAAATTACTTCACTGTGTTGCATGGCCACCGGCACTCCCTCTCACTCTTTTTTATTGTTTTTTTCTTTTTTTTCTTCTTTTTCATAAAGAAAAGAAAAATATTTGTGTTTGAAATAGTGAACATGTTAGTTTTTAAAGATAAAAAACAATTTTTAAATGTTTTAAAAAATTAGAATTGCTTGTGTTTGAAATAAAAATGAAATAAAAAAATTTAAAAAATACTTCATTTGTCTCAAATTAAATATTTTTACTATTTGTCTAAATATTTTTTTTGAATCTGTTGAGACTTGAGACCAAAAAGGATGAGAAGCAATAACACTACCAAAAGCAAAATTCTGGATGAAGGAATATCAGATCACACACCATTGTTGATCAAAGATCTCAACTGTTAGAGGAAATTTAAGTACTTCCGATTTTGCAATATGTGGATGGTAGGTGCAGAGTTTCCCCGTATTATACAGAACTATTAGAAAGAGGATCACGATCGAATGAGTATATATCAAGTAATGTAGAATCTTAAGATGCTTATTGAGCCTCTTAAGAAGCTACACAAGGCTAAGTTTAAAATCATACATAAGCACGTGGATGATATGAGGGATGAGTTGATGTGGATTCAAAGAGAAATCAAGCAGACTCATCCTAGTTAGTTTCTGATTAAAAAAGAAAATGAATTACTGTACCAATTGAATATCATTACTAAGGCCTCACATCAACTTAAATGCCAACGGATCAAACAAGGATGGATAACACCATGGGATAGGGAATCTAAGATGTTCCATGTTTGGGAAAGGAAAAGACAATTGAACAACTACATTATGAGCATCCAGAATGCTAATGAAAAAGAAGTTGAATGATTTTATAGAATAACAGAGGTCTTAGAGCAATTCTATAGTAGAATCTTGGGTACCATTTCCCAAACAAAGGATATAAATAACAAAATTATGGAGAAAGGGAAGGTCCTCACTACTGAGCAACAAATGGAGCTAATAAGAGATTTTAACCCTGACCGGGTTAAAAAAGCTATGTTTTCCATTCCTTGATCAAAAATCCCCGGCCTAAATGGATTCAATATATATTGGGTTTATCAAAAAGCAATGGGCCATTGTGGGTAATCTGACAACGAAAGAAGTGATGAATTTCTTCAGGGAAGGCACAACTCTAAAGTAGATTAATGCAACATGTCTAACTCTTATTCCAAAAGTGGACATGCCTACAAAACCAGCTGACTATATGTCCATATCATGTCGTAGCACAGTCTACAAAGTGATCTCTAAGCTGATTTGTAAGAGATTGAAAGAAGTTCTACCCCATATTGTTGATCTTAATCTAGCTGCATTCATTAAGGGGAGAGAACTCCTGCACAATGTGTTATGATGTCAAGAAATAGTAAAAGGCTATAATAGAAAGGGTATTTCTCTAAGGTGTATGATAAAGTTAGACATTCAAAATGCATATGACTTAATTAACTGGAAAGCTATAAGAGGTATCTTACATAGCCTGAAATTTCCAGAAAAGTTCATTAAATGGATCATGTTTTGCATCTCCATCCCTTCATACACAATCAATGTAGATAAGGAATATCATGGTTATTTCAGAGGAGGGAAGGGGCTGAGACAAGGAGATCCAATATCACCCCTCTTATTTGTGCTAGTAATGGACTATTTAACAAGAAGTTTTAAAGAAGCTGTCCAAAAAGTATCTTCTCTTTCCATCCCATGTGTGCTACGTTGAATATCATAAATCTTACTTTTGCCGATGATTTGATTGTGGTTAGCAAAATTGTATAATGAATCTATTGGAGACCTTTCAGAGTACCACTGGGTTGAAGATAACTAAAACCAAGTCACAGATTGTATTTAGTGGCATAAGCCAAACTGAACAAGAAGAGCTGATGAGGATCACTGACATGAAAATGGGTAAGTTTCCTTTTACTTACTTGGGAAGTCCAATTACTACAGCCAGACTGAAAGTGTTAAATATATTCTATATTTATGTTAAATATATGTTCTATATTTATTGTACACATATTGTTTTCTATTGTAGAATCCTACCATGATTAGGATTAAGAATAGCTTGTGTATATAAACACATGTACTCCCACATTATTGTTCAAGGAAATTATAATTCTTCATGGTAGCGGAGCCATAATTCTCCCAAACCAAAAACCCTAACCTTACCACGTCCCTCTCTCTCTCGGCGTGCTCTCCTCCAACCGCACAGCCGCCGCCTCCCTCTCCTCGGCGGGCTGTCACCGGCACAGCACAGCCCGACGTCAGCACCCCCCCCTTTCCTCTCTCAATATGTCTTCCTCCGACAAAAATACAGAAAACTCAACCTTTTCCTCCTCCTCCAATCTCCCTCATCTTGCTTTCACCACAATCTCCAACGTCAAACTTCATGTCCCGATCTAGCTAAGCTTCTCTCAGCCTAACTACAAGAAGTAGAGCTGGCTTTTTCTTCTCCTGGTATGCCGGTTTACTCTCCACGGCTTTCTCTCAGGTTATACATCTCCCTCCTCTGCCGATGATGATGAATGGTTCCAACTTGATGCCTTGATCCAGGGATGGATTCTCTCTACCATCTCTGATGAAGTCTCAGATCTAGTTATCTCCACCACCTCCACCGCAGCTAAACTATGGCGGGTCATTCATGCACTTTTCCATGACAACAAACACGCTCGAGCGATGCAACTCGAGCACCAGTTTCGAACCACCGTCAAGGGTATGATGACCATGGCTATGTACTGTCAAACCCCGCGGAACATTGCCGATTGGGGCGGCGGCTTCGGGCGTGGCAGTTGCTCGCCTGGCAGCGGGTACGGCAGCGGCAGCGGGCACAGCGGCGGCAGTGGCGGCCGCGGGCAGCAGGGGCGTAACTATGGTCGTGGTGGAGGCGGCCATGGACGTGGACGAGGAAGAAACTCTGGCTCGAAACGACACCCGCATGACGGCTACGTACCTTGGAACACACCACATCCCAACCC